CTTTTCTTTTTCTCTGTCTCTCTCCCTTTCCTTCTTTCTCTCCATCTCTCTTTTCTTTCTCTCTTCCCTTCTTTCTCTCTCTTCTGACTTTTTTTCTCTCACCCTTTCTCTCTTCTTTCTCTCTTCCCTTCTCTTTCTCTCTCCTCCCTTCTTTTTCTCTCTCTCCCTCTCTTTCTCTTTCCTCTCTCCCCCTTTCTTTTCTGCTATCTCTCTCCCTCTCCTTCTTTTCTTCTCTCCTCTCTTCTTTCTCTCCTCCCTTCTCTTCCTTCCTCTCTCCTCTTTTCTTTTTCTCTATCTCTCTCCCCTTCTTTTTCTCTCTCTTCACCCTTTCTCCCTGCCACCCCCCACTCTTCCTATCCTTCTCTCCCCTCTCTCTCTTTTCCTCTCTCCCTCCTCTCTCTCTCTCTCTCTCTCTCAGAGTACACACAAACACATGCTCGCACGCCCACTGCTCCTGTCAAAGCTCCAGTCCTCCTCCCTTCTTCAGACTCACAGAAAAGGAGAAGAGAAAGAGAAGAGGAGGAGGAGAGGAGACAGGTGCACGTGGTGGTAAAACGAATAGAAAGAGAGAAACAAGAGCTTCTGAGTATTTGGGAAAAAAAAGTTTCACTGTGTAACTTTCCTGTTGGGGGGGGGTCGGCGGTGGGTCTCCTGCCTGTTTGTCTCCGTTTTGCTTTGCCTCAAATGTTGCACAGAATTTAATTAAACCGATCGATCTCACAGTTTAAAAATCCGCTTATACAAGAGGCGTAAGACTTGATCAAACACACAGGGTCTTTAACTCGATGTTTTCAAGAAACACTTAAAGGTTGTATAGAGGATTTTTTAAGGGAAGTGAAATACAGTGACAGTCCTTTTTCAAATGTTGTGCATGCGCGACACCACCTTCCTCCTCCACAGCCTCAGTAGAAACATCTCCTCCCGCCTCCTTACTCTAGAAATCACACTTGTTTACAGCCAGTGCGCGTTCAGAATTATTGTTGAAGTGACCTGTCTAGAAGTAATTTAGCGACCGACGTGTCAGTTTTAGACCCTTCGTCTGCTTCAGTCGCGCCATGGCTGGAAGGAATCTCCAAGAATCACCTCAGTTTGTCTTGCTCCTTTTCCCCGTCTCTTCTTTCAGCGAACTCAAAAACGGACTTTCTTTTGGACCGAACTGGACGTGGATTCTCGTCCGCCATCGCAACAAACTTTGTGCAAAATGCGAGGAAGCTGCAGTCCTCTAAGAAGCGCTGCATAAACCACGTAATCCCCGCGCTCCACGAGTCAGTTACACTAGAAACGTTTGATTGACAACCTAACAGCCAATAGAAAATGAGGGCGCCTCGTTTTCTATTGGCTGATGTTTATCTGGTCTCACTACGTCCACAGTTGATAGATTTTCATTCTTTTTTTTTTTTGGTCATCATAATTACAAGGCATCTGCGTCTCTGTAATGGTATTTTAAACTTTCATTGACAATTTGAAACAAAAAAAAAAATCCTCCATACAACCTTTAAGCTCAGATTGATTTTTGTAGTATAAAAGTGATCTGAGAACAGTGATGATAAGAATAATTTTCCTAAAATCAGTGAATGTTTGATTTTGAAAATAACTTTATTCTGAACTCGATCAAATGAAAGGAGCGACTGAACACTTCACTCCAAATGTGAATTCTAAAGAAGAAGTATTTTCTCTACATGTTTTACTTTCTGACACTTTGAGAAAAGTCAATAAAATAATGTTTGAATTTTCAAAGCCTAAGCCAAATTTATCTGAATACTGTTGCGAAATACAGTAAGTACTTTGTACAAGTGACTACTACTACTTCTACTGTGACTGTTACTGCTACTACTACTACTACTACTACGACTGTGACTGCTTCTACTGCTACTACTACTACTACTACTACTACTCCTGTGACTACTACTACTACTACTACTACTACTGTGACGACTACTACTACTACTACTCCTGTGAAGACTACTACTACTACTACTCCTGTGACGACTACTACTACTACTACTCCTGTGACGACTACTACTACTACTACTCCTGTGACGACTACTACTACTACTACTCCTGTGACGACTACTACTACTACTCCTGTGACTACTACTACTACTCCTGTGACGACTACTACTACTACTACTCCTGTGACGACTACTACTACTACTCCTGTGACGACTACTACTACTACTACTACTGTGACGACTACTACTCCTACTACTACTACTACTGTAACTACTACTCCTACTACTACTACTACTCCTACTACTACTGTGACTGTGAATGCTACTGCTACTACTACTACTACTACTACTACTACTACTCCTGTGACTACTACTACTACTACTCCTGTGACTACTACTACTACTACTACTGTGACTGTGAATGCTACTGCTACTACTACTACTGTGACTACTACTACTACTACTACTCCTGTGACTACTACTACTACTACTACTACTCCTGTGACTACTACTCCTACTACTACTACTACTCCTGTGACTACTACTCCTACTACTACTACTGTTACTACTCCTGTGACGACTACTACTACTACTCCTGTGACTACTACTACTCCTGTGACTTACTACTACTACTACTACTACTACTCCTGTGACTACTACTACTACTACTACTCCTGTGACTACTACTACTACTACTACTACTACTCCTGTGACTACTACTACTACTACTACTCCTGTGACTACTACTACTACTACTACTACTACTACTACTACTACTACTACTACTACTACTCCTGTGACTACTACTACTACTACTACTACTACTACTACTACTACTACTACTACTACTACTACTGTACTACTACTACTACTACTACTACTGTGACTACTACTACTACTACTACTGTACTACTACTACTACTACTACTACTACTCCTACTGACTACTACTACTACTACTACTACTCCTGTGACTACTACTACTACTACTCCTGCGACTCCTACTACTACTACTACTGTGACTACTACTACTACTACTACTACTCCTACTACTACTACTACTGCTACTGTGACTGTTACTACTAATCTAGAAGTGTGTTTATATTTGCAGTCTGTCTCTTCTTAAACCTCTGCTTGTGCGTTTTTGAAGATTTCCTGAATTCTGTCCCGGTGTAATCCACACTCCAGGATTACCCATCGCTCCATAATCCTCCTCAGAGCAGATCCACTGTCTCCTCATATTCACAATCAAACTCACTTCATATCTCTGTCTGCCAACGGATTTAACATTTTACACTCACAATCAAAACGCAGTACAGTCACGTTTTTTAATGAATCACAAAACAATCTCGACAATTCTTAATTCTGTTGAGACACTGAACAAATTTCACATATAAAACATCAATATATACTGTATTTTTTGACTATAAATCACAGTTTTTTCATGGTTTGGGTGTTTCCTGCGACTTATACTATACGACTTATATATTAAAATTTTCAGAGTGAAGCGGTGAGAGGTTCTAGTCTTGTGTGTCAGTATCTGCTGCTTCTGTTCTTCCTGTACCACTGTCTCTTGGCTCTGCTGCGCATGTCTCCTGCAGAAAGAGCCTCTGTCCTGTCTGTATCATGTCAGTCGATCGCACCATTACTTCTGTACCAATTTAAACAAACTTATAAAGACGACTGAGAAGACTGAACACAAATGCCCCCAAAAAGAAGATCATATTTTGCAGATTACAAACTGCAAGTGGTGAAATCTGCAGCTGAAAACGATAATCGAGCAGCAGAAAGAAAGTTTGGAGTGAGAGAGAAACTTGTGACACCATGAAACTTTCCTGAAGTCACTGGATGGATGGACAAAACCTGGACTTCAGTGACACCGAAACCATCCTTATTAAGCCAAAGATGTTCATTTTGTCTTCTTATGTGCTTTAACTTCTTGGATTCTTTTTAAAGACAATTCAGTAAAGTGTATTTACCTTGTTGACATGTTTCGGCTGCAGCTGCGAGCCATCTTCAGAACTGTCACCGGTGTTGGTGGTGACGTGTCGTATATCAGCTGTTGTTACTTCCTGTAGGTGTGGCGTGGCTCCTTTCACACACCTGGGACACCCTCCTCCAGAGAACATCAGGCGACGGGAGGCGTGGTCAGTCTGAGCGACCTGCAGGTCCATCAGGTCTGACCACGTCTACAGGAAGAAACAACAGCTGATACACGACACGTCACCACCAACACTGGGGACAGTTCTGAAGGTGGCTCACAGCTGCAGTTGAAACATGTCAACACACTTTACTGCATTGTCTTTAAAAAGAACTCAAGAAGTCGAAACCATCCTGTCGGGATTCAGAAAGGCTGGAATAATTCTAACTGGAACTGATGCTGAGTCTGACGACAGCGACGCAGAAGAGGAAGCGGCGTCTGTTTACCTCTGGAGGTCGTGGAGTTGTTCAGAAGTGACACCAAGGATGAACAACTGAATGGATTTAGTGATTTGGAGTGAGATGGAGAGTTTGTTAAACTTGTTCTGTTCTGTTGTTTATGTTATAATTATCTGAAGAACTGTTCATATGTGACGTTAACAGTCTGTTACTAGAACTTGACTTTCAAGATGAAGTGTCGGCTCCTGGTCTGATCTTATAAAACAAATTTCCTTCAAAAAGTCTGACTGTCATGTTTTTTTTTCTTCTTCATTACACATTTTTTGGCTGGTGCGACTTATAGTCCAAAAAATACAGTACTCATATTTCTGTAACAATCTAATTAATGTAACGAATAAGAACATTATTTTCAAAGCAGCAAAATGGACTTTTCAGAGAGTTTACAGGAACTGCCAAACTCTACTAAACTAAAAGGTAAAAGGAGCTGTTAACTTGAAAACTACCACTTCATGACATCACAAGGTGGAACAGAGAATTTCAAGCTTTGGAGATGTAGACAAATAATAAAGTGTTACTCAAACATGTGTGAATGAAACAAAACAAAACTACAGGTCTGTTTTTGAGGAGGTAACAACATTATAACATGACTTAACGTAAAAAAATATATATATTGATTTATTTGTTTTTATTTTGTTTGTGCCAAGACAGTCATATACATACTACATATACATTATAAACAACAGAAAAAAAGAGCAAAAATTAAAAGTATTTCACGCTTATTTTGAGATCTACAAAGCTTCAAAAACATGTATTGAACTGTGATTGTGGTTAAAAAGCTCAGATTAAAGCCTCAGACAGAGCAGTGCTTACAGTTAGCATCACATTTGTTTTGTTTTTAAACTCTGTACACCTTCACTAGTATCACGTGGATCATTTCAGACCTGGAGCTGTAAAACAGGATCTTTTAAGTTAGCTCTCGTTTCTGCTGAAAGTCTGCAGATCTTCTCGGTTGTTTCTCACACATGAACCTGCTCGTGATGGTGCAGGGAACGTCAAACCAGGACAGAAACTCCGTGGCCCAAACCCTCACCCCCATCCACGCGCAGTCCTCCCCCTGTGGGTGGGGCGGAGAGATCCAGTTGTCCGGTTCATTCGCAGATCCGTACACAAACCAAAACGCTAAACTAAAGACAACAGAAGGAAGAATAACGGATCACAATATTGAAATGTAACCTGAAGAACAAAGACCGGGTCCGAATGTTCGCACTATTCAGAACTTTGGGCACCAACTAAATATTAAAGCCCAATCTACGTTCGTGTGTCAAATTGTCTGCGTCGCCTTGAACCCCCTCCGCAGAACACCTCAGAAATTTTCTAACGACATGTCAAACCAACGCAGACAGCAAGAGAAATGACGCAGGTAATATATGCATCCTGAATTTTAGACTTTCGGTCATCGCGCAGTGCATAATGGAAAAGGTTCTCCAAAAAAGTGAGCATCAAATCGCCATGTTTGATTTCCCAAAGACTTTAAGTCTTTTGAACCATATCGCTTTTGTTTCTGGTTCTGATATTGTCATACTTTAGTTGTGGGATTCAGACATCGTAATTGTGCACAGCGAACATTTTGTATGTGGAGCGCCATCAAAGCAAAATCCCGTTTGTTAAGCGAGAGGTACAGAAGGCAAACAGACTGAGCTCACACTTTCTTGTTCTTGTGGTTTTACAGCAACATCAAGTCTGGAAGTTGTTTCTTGGTGAACAGCTGGTGCCTTTCACTTTGGCGTTGACTTTTTAAATTCGTAACCAAGGTTGAGCGAGGGATCAGGATTTTGCTTTGATGGCGCTCCACAAACAAAATGTTCGCTGCAAACTTGGGATGATTTCTTAGGCAGACAAAGGTTTTCTTTTTGGTCCTTCCTGTGGATCAATCCTGCCCATCGCCTTCACCTTTTTTCGCCTATTTTTCAAGTCTGTTGGGAAGAGAACAGTTTGAACGAACGTTTGCAGTCACACAGATCTGATTCCCTTTTGCAGTTAAGGAGTTTGCACACTTCTGAAGCACGTTTTCCGCTGTTAGGACATCCGGCAACCACACAATTATGATGTCCGAATCCCAAAACTAAAATATGTCAATATCAGAACCAGAAAGAAAAGTGATATGGTTCAAAAGACTTGAAAAGATCAGTTTTACAATAGACGCATCCCACTGGGAAAACAAACATGGCGGTTTGATGTTCACTTTTTCAGAGAACCCTTCCCAGTATGGATTGCACGATGAAGAAGTACGAAATTCGGGATGCATGTATAAGGGCTGTGATTGATCCACTCTAAATCCGCTCTATGTACATTTACAGTACTTCGCTTTCCCGCTTCATTTTGTAAACACGAATGTCATTTTTAAACCCTCACCTCCTACAGTTGTGGCGGTGAATTACTTAGCGGTGCATAGACCTCAGCGCGGATCCATGAACCAAAAACGACGGCGACAAGGCGACGGCAGCAGTGTGTGTTAAGTCGACGCAGAACTATAACTCAGCTCTAAGCCACAACATTTTTAGGAGTATCCGAATATCCAGTGAGTGAAAATGAGGTTAGGTTTTTGGTATATTTTACAAAATTATTTTGTTACAGCTACAGTTGTGTTGCTTGTTTCATGAAAGGAAACTCATTTACGCGACACATTTGACATTTTCACTGTTTTGATGATTAAAATGGTTGTGTTTCCTATGAACTTTGCACAATAAATAGATTAACAAAAACGTTTAGTATCACAACCATGAGTTAGTCTTTATTTTTCATTGAATCATATTGAATCAATTTGAAATATATTGAATTGAGAGCTCACTGTATCGAGGTATGCATTGTATCGCCTTAGTGAAAATGTAGTGCACTCAAAACTTTCCACAATGCACCTTGAAAAGTAGTGGGCATCAGTGGTCACGAGAGCGGACAATAGCAAGAAGCAGATGGTTTATGGCACAGTTGATCCTGATTTGGAAAAAACACTCTTAAATTATGGAATAAATTAGTGCTGTCATGCGATTAAAAAAATTGAGAGATTAATTAATTATGATCTGTAATTAATTAATCTAATTAATCTCTTTTAATCTCACCTAAAAAATGCTGAGAAAAGCCTTCAAGTTGAGGTATTTTCATTTAAATTCATTATTACATTATTGTGGCAGATCAAAAGACTGATATAGATTAAAAAAAGTGACTTTATAAAGTCATTTATTGTTTAACAAATCTCTCCAAATTGGCTGTTGAGCCCAAGTCTCCATGAATAAGAAACTGTTTGCTGTAAAGTAGCAAAGACGAGGAAATCTGAACATAATAACTTTTGTCAACTTAAAGACAATAAAAAGTCCAGTCTTTCCTTAACCAGATTAAAAATATTATTGATAGAGAAATGCTTTATATATGAGATCACTGGTTTTAGTTCTGGTTTAGACCTGGTTTTAGTCCTGGTTTAGTCCTGGTTTAGTCCTGGACTGGGTTAGTCCCGGTTTTAGTCTTGGTGTTAGTTCTGGTTTAGAGGCGCACAGGAGGAAGTGCGGTTTACGTGAGAAAACGGACGCGGCTCACGGGAGCACGTCGGTGTCCGCGCAGTAACTACGGAAAGAAACGTGGTCCGCGCGTTCTCAGGTTAATGACGATGATGAAGGTGTGTGTTTGTGTTTGTTTGTGTTTGTGTGTGTTTGTGTGTGTGTGTGTTTGTGTGCGTTTGTGTTTGTGTTTGTGTATAGGACAGTAGTGCAGACATCATGAGCCTATGCAGGTTTTCACCAGTGACATTTAAGTTGTAGGCGATTTTATATTTGTTATTTTCTTTTATATTTCACGTCGGGAGAATAATTTCCAAGACACGAATGTGTTTTTACCTGTGCACTGCTGCTTCTGTTCTACTGGCTCTTCCACCTCATCCATTGTGCGACTGACGCCGCAAACGTTAACGTGACGTTTGCATCGCTCTTACTGCGCGCGTTTTGTTGTGGGTTTCCGGCATTGAGTGGAATTACCGAAATAAAAAAATAATTAATGTGTTTTTTGTGTGTGTGTCACATACAGAAACAGTAAAGTTAGAGATTAAAAATGAGATTAACGCGATTAAAAAACATAACGCGCTAAATATGACTGTAATTAATTCATCGCAATTAAAGCGATAATTTGACACCCCTAGTATAAATCCAAATCCACTTTATTTATATAGCACATTTTTCATTCATGTGTCGGTCACTAGTTTTTTTCCTCTGCTTTTTTTTTGTGTGAAGGCTGAACGCATCGGTCAAGACGAGGGAGACGAGAAACCAAATGGAGAGAGAAAGAGAAAAAACGGTGAGAAAATGAGCAACAGCAGCAGGAAATGCCATCAAATTTGGACACATTTCAATGTCAATATGCAGTTCAAAGACAGAGTGTAAGACTGTGCAAGGTGAAAATATATCAAGCAGGCTCCACAGATAAATAAATTAAAAGTTTGTCTAAGTGAGATGGGTCTTTTTATACTTTTTTATACTTGATACTATGATTTATTTTGCAGCACTCTGTTCAAGGTGGAGTGTGTTTGTAAAATAAAGCCATATAAAGGATAAACATTTGATGCCATGTACGTTTTTTTAACATCAGTAATTCATTTTACACACAGTTTAGCATTATTTTTGGTGATAAATTAATTTAAAAAGAAGAAAATCTGAGGAGCTATTTGGGAGCCGAAAGAGCCGGCTCTTTATAGTAAAAAAAAGAGACGAAATTTCCATCACTAATTTACAAATAAAACAGTTTCTAAATGAAGACAATGAAAAGGTAAATTACTAAAATTGGGTCATACCGGTCCTAAAACAATCAAAACAGAAAAATCTAATAAAATCAAAACCATAAAAATAAAAAAATGGCAGTAAATAAGTAAAATAAATCAAAGAACACAAAGGAACACAAACGCGCTCGGTGTTAAAAGACAGAGAATAAAAATATGATTGATAATTTCAGATCTCAGATAAAAAAGCAAATAATCTGGTCTGTTTACGTGAGATTCAGCTTGACAAAAACTCGTATGATTATTATTAGTCCGTAAACACTTGTATGTCACTCTGATCTGATCTTTATTTAGCACAGAAATCAAGTTTTATCGGAGTTTAGCCTTTAGACTTTTTCACCCAAGACGCCAGAGTCACGTGACCCAAAATCCGTGAGCTCTGAGTCCGAATCGCTGTGAACGAGGCACTGTAGAGGGCGCTAAAGAGTCCACGACTATGTAGCAGGTATGAGGGCATGAAATATTTGTAGAACTAAATAAAAATAAAAGAACATCAACGAGCCAATTGAATCTGACCTTTGGTTGAGTGAGGATCCGTCGGTCCACCTCCAGTCCCCCTCAGTCTCGGCGTCGCTCAGTCCCATCCAGAACATTTCCTCTGTAGATTTATTTATCTCCTTTATTTTCTCAAACAGAAATTGCTAAAATTGAAAGAAAATAATGTAATTAGGCTTCAAGGATTTAAAATGGTTTCCCCTCCGAGTTGAATAATCCCTCATTTATTTTGCATTTATGTCTTAAAGAGGGAGTATTCTGTTCACTATGTTACCTTTTATTATTTTGGGTTTTTTTTTTGTTATATTGCTGGGTTTCACATCAGGATGTCAGGATGAAATAAGAATAAAAGCTCTATCAATCAAATGTTTGGACACGCCATCTAAGGCTGCATTCAAGACTGCAGCCTGAAGTGACCCCAGTTCGATTTTTTGGCCCCTATGTGACCTGTATCTGATCTTTTAATGACAACACAGATCTGATTTTTTCAAATGCGACCCAGGCCACTTGGATATGTGCTCCTGAAACCGACACATATCCGATCTTTTGACATGCGACTTCAGTCTGAACGGCCAGGTCACATTCATCCCACCTACACGTCACAAATGTGCACAAACAGGAGTCGATCTACCAGTGGATCTGTGGGTTTTTTCGGAAGGTTCAATGCGTGTCCTAAAAAGAAGCACGGGAGATGGAGAATCCGAGAGAACAGGCCACTTTATTTCAGCATTTCCATTGAGAGAGATTCAAGTTGATTACCAAGTACAACTGTCACCCCGACGTCTCTGACCAACTCAAAATCAGGGGTAGCTTTATACTACATCTTGACAAAACATTAACTTGTTGATTTAGCATATACAGCAAGAAAATGAACAATACTGCTGACCCAGTGCACCTTATCATGGGTGGGAACATGCCACGGGGTCCACATATGTCAGTTTTTCTGCTTCGTGGCATCTCAAAGTCCAGAAAAAACATGTTATGTAGACCTATAGATAGTCATACGTGTTTTCCACCCTGTTGTCATTCCAAAGTCCATAATATTAGGTGAATTAGCATGACCAACACATAATATTTCCCACAGATCCAACAGTGCACATTTTGGATGATGACTCACAAATTCCTCTTCAGAATAGGATACGCAAAATTTGGCTGGCAGGTCTCACAGCAGCGAAGAAGATTATAGCTCAAAGATGGAAAAGTAATGACGTGTCATTTACTCAATGGCTTCATTGGTTTATGGACATTGCTTACATGGAACTATCTTCAGCAAGGATTAACAATGCTGCACCGAATACAGCTGAATTATGGACTCAACTAATAGGAGATCTGGAAATTATGTCAAATACTGGACTCACTCTGTTAGTATAAGATATATTTGTGTCATTATAGAGCTGGTGGGTGGCAAGGGAAAGGGGGAAGTCGGGTTAATAGAAAATGTGTTAATAGAGAATGTATATGTTGTATTGTTCTTAATAAAAAGTGAATGATTAAAAAAACAAATGTACACAAACGTTCTTCTCGTCAGACGAAAACTGTGTCTGAATTCCGTGTCAGTGAAGCAGTGAAGCACATATCAATCCCACCACTCTTGGCTGCGACGCTGCACCCACACGTTCTTTCTCTACGGACGTTGCTGCCACTGCCCCACAAAACCTCGTCCTTCTCAATCTCCTCCTTAAAACAAATAAGCTGTACATGTTCTGGCTCCAGTATGCAACTTTAAAATCTCCAGGTGCTCAAAGCTCGTGTCCATGTTAAGGCGACTTCTGTGTGCTGTGGTCCAAAAGCAAGAAAAATGTCTGATAAAGGCTTTTTTTGAAAATAAAAAAGCTTTTGGACATTGGCCATCTGAGTGTGCTATGCATTTTTTCACTTTTGTCTTGGCTGCTCCTTGCATTTGCACCTCTACAAGAATTTCAGTGTGCGTTTTCTGTTTCTTCTGATTAGGTGACTTCTGTAAACACTGAACATACTCGCTGTGTGTGATGTCGTCCTGTCCTCTAACGCTCACGTGGGACACTTTTGGGGTGTTTAAAGTTCACACTGGAGATCACATACAAGTCGCATTTGATTTGAAATGTGAACAACGTCGCAAAAAAGTCGTATTTCACAAAAAAATCTGAATTTACCATTAAACCCTGCAGTCAAGGTCTTTTTTTCTTGACATTTTCTATTTTCTACATTTTAGATACAAATATATGAAGTAAGGTAAATTGAACTGTGAAGTAAAGAAAAACACTGAACTAACTCAATATGTATTTATTTATTTTACATTTAAATCCAAAGTAGTCACCTTTTGCTTTGTTGACAGGTCTCCAAACCCTTGGCCTTTTCTCACTGAGCATCTCCTGAAATGCACTTCACAGCCCTGCCATGTCAGGCTCAAGAAATGCCAAAGTAAAACATTATTTTTCCTATTTTAATCTAAAACTTTTTGAGTTATTATTTGCTTGCTACATTCCACATTCCATTATTCATAGTTTCGACGCCCTCAGAGAGAATCTACAATGTAAATAAATATTCATGAACATAAAAAAGAAGTTAAGTTAAAGAAGAAGTTGAAGAAAAAGTGTCCAAACTTTTGACTGGTTGTGCATATTAAATAAAAGCAGTCGGAAAAGTTAAAAGTACCTAAATGTACCTGAACTTTACGCGTTATATTAAAATCCAACACCTGCTCTGTTCTGGTCTCTATCTTCACCAGATCTCCTCCCATCTCTCCACAGAGCTGTCGGCTCATGTCCCAGGACGTCTTCATGTTGGAGAAACGGTAACACTTCTGTCCGTGGAGCAGCCAGGCCTCGTCACAGCGCAGTCCGACGGGAGCGTGAGCGGCGTCTGTGGGCGCTGTGCCTCCTATCTGCGACTGAAACCAAAACAAAACCTGAAATTGAAAACAAAACCACTGACACAGCGAGATTAAACGCAGACATTTAAACGCTGAATTACTCGGGCTGGTCGGGGTCGATGGTGGGACTTTATTCTTCATGGACACTGAAGGAGAAAAAAAAATCTTGTCTTATAGCACCGTAGTTTTGCAATTAAAATACAAAAAGATCTAAGACAGGGTTGGGCAATTCTTTTTTCCCTGGGGTCACATAAGAAACAGAAAATACTTACCTCAATTTGTGAGGGTTTCTTTCTGCCCCTCCTCCTGCCCCTCCTTTCCCTGCTCCCTCTTCCCTTCTCTCACCTTATTTGGCTTTTCCTGGGCGGGTCCCCAAATCATCTCACCTGCTGAGCTCCACTCCTGATCCTCGTCAAGTAATCATCTCCTGCAATAAAAGACCTGCTGACCTGCTCTCCAGTGCCAGATCGTTCCGTCAACCAAGCGGTGAACAACTCAGGCTTTTTGTGTTTTTGAGCATTTTTGAAGATTTATGACTCTTACCTGTTTTCTTTTATCCGTTCCCCAGTTCTTCCGTTTTGTAACCAGCCTCATCCCGTTACCACTAGTTTCTGTAAACCTCCGGTCAGTCTCCATCTCCACAGACCTCCCATCTGCAGCCTCCCCTGGAATCTATCCCCCCGCCAAGACTATTTTGTGAATACAATAATTTTTTCCTCTGCATATTTGGGTCCGACCAGTGATTCTTTAACACAATTCTGCAGAATATGAACTGTATTTCTTTATAACAAGCTTTAAATAGCCTTGTTTTGACGAGTTTATGTTATGACAAAGCAATGAAAAATGAGGTTGACTTACAAAAAAAAAAAAATCACCTAAAATAAATAAAAGGAATGCAGGTAAAATGCATGAGGTAAAACTAGAAAATATGTTTGTTTTATAATTCTAAATGAGCTTAAAGGAGCCAGTCAGAGTCAACCAAAGGGCTGTATGTGGCTCGGGAGCTGTACAATGCCCACGTCTGAACTAAGACTATAACACTGTTAAAACTCACTCTAAAACTCCTCCCTTTGAGATTTTGTTCACTCAAACTTGTATAAATCTTATAACGCCTCAAGCCTGATCCATCAAACTGAAAACGGCGTCTGGAGCTAAGGCGGCACAGTGGCTGAGTGGCGAGCACTTGTTGTTGCATGTTTCTCCCCGTGTCTGGATGGGTTTCCTCCATCAACCCAAAACATGCTACAAGAACAGCTGATAGTTAAGGTCAGATAAATACAATCCATCAATGAATCTGCCCAGGGACGACAGGTGGAAATTAGAACTGATGCTACAACCTGGTACATGCATCTCTCCTGTTAAGGTTCATGTAAAAACTGTGTGCTGTCCCTGTCTCAATAAAGAGCTGAAACTTCCAAAAACAGTGTCCAGAAGACCACAGCTGAAGCCTTCTGTACACTGAGCCTCACCTGGACGAACGAAGGCTTACACGGTCTCGTATTTAATGACGCAAAACAAACCAAAAGATAAAATGACTCACAGAAGAGGGCGATTCCATCAAAGACATAAGCGACGATCAGAACTGCAGCCATCACCACAGCCACTCTGAGCACAGTCACCTCCACCCTCCTCCCAGAACGCACTCCTGTACAAAACACAAACAAAACACAAATATTTAACCCACAGACTTTATATTGACTGTATGGTGTAAAATTGGGAAGCACAGAGAACATTAAAGGTCTGATCTTACACAAAAGCACAGGTGTCAAACATACGGCCCGGGGGCCAGATCCGGCCCTCCAAGACCTTTTAATCTGGCCCTCGGCTGATTTTCTACTAAAAATATTTTAATTATATTTTCTATTAAAATATTGGTAATTTTCTGTGGTGTTTATCCAGAGCCTCTGTACGTGGCCCCTCCCACCAGAGCAGCACAAATGAAGACTTGTCTCTTTCCAAACGCTCTTAAAGGACGATCGTTTTGACTGTTGACCGTGACACCCTCATCAGAAAAATGTCCAACATGAGAAAAATGGAGCTGAGTGCAGAATTTTCCAACAAAAATTGACTTATTCCTATTTGCATACAAGTTCATGTTAAAACATTCTGTTGAAATTGCATTTTTCTTAAAGTTTCAGGTTGTTCATAATATTATAATATTTTGTAAAAGAAAGAGTTAATCAATTAAAAAAAAAGATTTCTGGAATAGATTTGTGTTTCTCTGCACAAATATTTGAACTTATTGTTATTTTGGGGGTTTATATGACATGAGTTTTCTGATCCGGCCCCTTTGGGATCAAAGTAGGATGGACACGGCCCCAGAACAAAATGAGTTTGACACCCCTGCACAAAAGTGACTCTTGTGAGCTTTAAGCCATGTTAGAATGTTGTTACTTCTTCAAAAACAGACCTGGAGTTGTGTTGTTAGAATAAATAACTCAGCTATTTATTATAACTCATTATTGTACCGAGGTCATTTGAAGATAAGGGCTCTCAAATGTGTCTAACTAACTAAAAAGGACAAGAATTATTGATAGGGAGTCTGATGACTGTGGACGTGACACCTGTGCTAAGTCTGAACCATGGCCTCCTCTCACTATAGTTTGCGCATAAAACATTGAGTGTCTGCATGGGAATGTCAACACAGACTCCTAGTATGGCTTTGTAATACTGGAACTGGAAGTAAATTATCTGGACTTTACTTCTGAAACTAACAAACATGAAGTTACTGGATTTGTTTAAAATGGTTCAATCTGGGTCTGGGAGGGAGTTTACTGTTTTAAATAAAGACATTCTAAATAAAAAAGTTGCCCTACAATAATGATAATTTAAAGGTACTTATTAAGATGGCAAATATATATCTTAGTCCTGGTTTAGACTTGGTTTAGTCCTGATTTAGTCCTGGTTTAGTCTTGGTTTAGTCTTGGTTTAGTTCTGGCTTAGTCGTGGTTTAGTCCTGATTTAGCCCTGGCTTAGTCTTGGCTTAGTCCTGGTTTAGTCTTGGTTTAGTCTTGGTTTAGTCCTGATTTAGACCTGGCTTAGTCCTGGCTTAGTCCTGGTTTAGTCTTGGTTTAGTCTTGGTTTAGTCCTGGTTTAGTCTTGGCTTAGCCCTGGTTTAGTCCTGATTTAGCCCTGGCTTAGCCCTGGCTTAGTCCTGGTTTAGTTCTGTCTTAGTCCTGGTTTAGTCTTGGTTTAGTCTTGGCTTAGTCTTGGCTTAGCCCTGGTTTAGTCCTGGCTTAGTCCTGGTTTAGTCCTGGCTTAGCCCTGGCTTAGTCCTGGTTTAGTCTTGGTTTAGTCCTGGTTTAGTTCTGTCTTAGTCCTGGTTTAGTCCTGGCTTAGTCTTGGCTTAGCCCTGGTTTAGTCCTGATTTAGTCCTGATTTAGCCCTGGTTTAGTCCTGATTTAGCCCTGGTTTAGCCCTGGTTTAGTCTTGGTTTAGTCCTGGTTTAGTTCTGTCTTAGTCTTGGTTTAGTCCTGGCTTAGTCTTGGCTTAGCCCTGGTTTAGTCCTGGTTTAGTCCTGGTTTAGTCCTGGTTTAGTCCTGGTTTAGCCCTGGCTTAGCCCTGGCTTAGTCCTGGTTTAGTCTTGGTTTAGTCCTGGTTTAGTTCTGTCTTAGTCCTGGTTTAGTCTTGGTTTAGTCCTGGTTTAGTCTTGGTTTAGTCTTGGTTTAGTCTTGGTTTAGTCTTGGTTTAGTCTTGGTTTAGTCTTGGCTTTAGTCCTGGCTTAGTCCTGGTTTAGTCTTGGTTTTGTTTTTTGGTGTATGTTACTGTGACTGAGTAGTCCTGTCAGTCAGCGCGGGGAGGCCACGCCGCCGAAACGCGACGCCGCGCACACCCACGCACACACACGCACTCTCACGCACACCCACGCACCGGTGTTTCACTCATGCGGCCGTTTACCGCTGTCCCACAGTTTTCTTCCCGTGCGCCAGTCCGGGCTGCACACTTGTTTGCTGCTCAAACATTTGTCTCGCCAGAGCCAATGTCCCGTTTCCAAACTTCCGTCCATGTCCACGGTGTCCTACGTGCGCGTGTCAGCCAACCCGAGCGCGCACGTGTCACGACTTGCTGTTTTTTTTAAAATTATTATTATTATTATTATTATTATTATTTTATTTTTTTTATTTAATTTTTTTTTTTTTTTGTTAATTGATTTCAAGGAGGAGCCTCCCACCACGACAGGGGCAGAGTTGTTGTGCATCTCAGGCACCAGCTCCAGACTGATCCAAGGGCTGTACACTGTTGTTGTTTTGTTTGTTTGTTTGTGTTTTGTTTTGTTTTGTGATTTTTTTTTTTTTGCTGCTGCTGTAAATATATGCATGTCTTTTCTTTTTTAATTCACTATTTTGTGCACTTCTGGGAGTAAAATCACCAAGACTATTTTCGATTACGCCATATAACTTCTTTTTCTTCAATAAGAGCCCAGGACAGTCATGTTGTTAGGTTTTAAATTAGGTCAAAGTCATGAGCATTGCAGCAATTTCCTGTTTTCATTTTATGCTGCACTGTTCAAGTTTGTGTTTTTGCTTTTCTCTTTGACCAGAGCAGTGAACAGGACTCCACATTATTTTACAATTTCAAGTAAAAGTGAAGATATTGTGAATAATGCTTAAAGGCCTCGATATTACACAAAACTAACTCCAGTGAGCTTTAGGATATTCAATAATAAAACATAAAACAATCAAAACATACCTGGAGTTTGAGCAACCCTTTATTAGTCTGTGTACACCTTCAAACCTTAGAATGCTCTGTTACACCTTGTGATGTCATGTAGTGGCATCTTTTACCTTTAGTTAAATGGAAATCGGCAATTCCAGGGCTGAAATTATCGAAATGATTCTATTGAAAGTCTATAGATCTTTTGGTTTGACAGAAGAACTCAACTTAAACATGTAAAAATGAAACAAAACACAACTCCAGGTCTATTTTTGATGAGAAAACAAGATGATAATATCGTAATTTGAGCCTTTCAGAGCCAGCTTAACTCTTAAAATCAGAAAACATGTCACAATATTACAACAGTGATTCTTGTATTAATTTGTCAGTTCATATTTCAGTCAATTCTTTTTATAATTTGGATAAAGTTTAGTCCCTCACCTGTGTGTCTCCTCGTCGTTGGACCATTGGCGTATTCCACATCTTCAGTTTTCATTTTCCACAATTCGATTAACAGCTTTGTTTTTAAAAACGTGGTTAAATCTTAATGCATAAGTCTGTTTTTGTTTTTTTTGTGGTTTTTTTTCTGCTGCACTTCCTGTCTTTGTAATGTGCAGCGGCTAGAAGAAAAGTGCGCTTCTGGTTTTGCTCTGTCTCATCTACTCTACAGGAAACTCTCGTTTGGGTGCTACAAAACCGACTTCTTATACACTACCAGTCAAAAGTTTGGACACACCCTCGAATTCAATGTTTATTTTTGTGTTTACCACTTTCTACATTTCATATACACACAGAAAACATCAAATATATGAAATAAGATGTATGGAATTAAAGGGGGGAACGTTAAATTACTATTAAATAACCAAATCCACAATTAGACACATTTTACAAGATGAAATTTTGACATAATTTGTGCTAAATAAGAAGTGCAAACCATTTCACAATTTTAGCTTCACTATTTTTATTTTATGTAATACTTTAGCAGTCTTTGTACTACTGATTTCTGAACTACGGCTTCTCAACTTGTATAAATCACTAGGCCTTAACTCATTTTTAGTCTAAAGTAAAGTAAATTGAGGAGGAAAAAATAATTTTTCTCATGTGTGCAGAATCTTCTGGCGATTTTGTCTTGAGAGATCGAGCTCAAGAGACTTGGAATATATGTCTTTTGCACTTTTGTACTATTTATATTTATTATTATTTATTTATAAGCATGAGAATGAGAAACACATTTTGATTCTTTTATGTTTTTCTCATGAAGAATTGACAATGAAGTTTTTTTAACGAGATTTTGTCCCATCACTAGAACCCAGATTTCTGTTGGAACCGAGTTCTAGTCTAGTCTCTAACAAAAAGAATCAGGTCCAACATTTGTGAATTTACTTTAACTCCTTGGGTTCTTTTTAAGGACAATGCAGAAAAGTGTGTTTTTACCTTGTTGACATGTTTCGGCTGCTCGCTGTAAACCATCTTCAGAACTGTCCTCAGTGTTGGTGTTGACATGTCGTATATCAGCTGTTATTACTTCCTGTAGACGTGGTCAGACCTGATGGACCTGCAGGTCACTCAGACTGACCACACCTCCCGTCACCCAATGGAGGAGGGTGTCCCAGGTGTGTGAAAAGTTAATGCTGTCTGTGCCTCTTTTTCTGATTTCAATGTCCTCCTTGATCCAGCGTTTGAAATTGTTTTCTGATCCATTGACCCGAGCCCCGTCCTAATCCATAATGTAGTAACCACATGACTACATTATGCAGCGAGCAGCCGAAACATGTCAACAAGGTAAACACACTTTACTGCATTGTCTTTAAAAAGAACCCAAGAAGTTAAAGTATATAAGAAGACAAAATGAACATCTTTGGCTTTGTGAATTTACCTTTTGGTTGGTTCATGGCCAGCAGCTGAAACATGTCCACAAGGTAAACACGTCTCTTTCTGTGCTGTTTTTAAAAAGAACCCAAGTTTCTAAACAGGTGCCTTATGTCAGGGGTCCCCAACCCTCGGGCCAGGGACTAGTACCAGGCTGCGGACTGGCCGGACCATCCCTCCTCCCGTCCTGCGCCTTTAAACCAGAACTAAACCAGGAGTCTAAAGAACCAGGTCTAAACCAGTTTTAAAACCAGGACTAAAACAGGGTCTAAAACAGGATTAAATCAGGATTTAGCCCAGATGTAAAACTGGTTCGGGTCTGCCTTCTGTAACTTTTAGGTTGGGGGTCTGTTATCTGTGTTAGGTTTATCTAGACATTTAAAAACAAGAAGAAAGACAAGAGATTAATTCAGTTTTACTCATGAGAACGGGCAGAGAGTGGGCATCAGGCCAACAGTCTCCACACGTTCTGATGACTCAAGGCCGCTCTCCTCTTTTTATTTCATTAGGAGGCCCTAGTTACAGAACGATAATTCTCAAGGGGAAGGGGAAACAGCAAAGACATAATAAGAAACTGATGAAGCTATGCATAGTCCAAACACATAAAACATGATTAACAATCAGGAGGTGCCTTAGGTTTGGACAGACACCATCATAACTCTTGCATGTGTGACAGTGGGAGTTGGCTTCATGTGAGGAATCATCTCGAGGTTCACTAGAGCGATAGGACACTGCACACAGTTGTCAAACACACAGAGGTTATTCATTTTCATACAAGTGATTGGTACATTATAAATCAAAGAATTGTAGTTACATAAATGGTTAACTCATAGGCATAGAATATCACACAAGTATTTAGCAAATATGGGATAATAGAATTATTCTGACAATCTGCTTGTTCAGCTTGTTGCCAAGGGTATGTCTTTGTTCTGCCCAGAATGTTCTGTGATATGACTTTAAAAAGCTCTACCTTACATTTATTCAATTACAGGTGGTTTTATTGCTCAAAAACACCTAGAAAAACAAACATTCTGACTGTGAGCGGGGTCGCCTCTCCACAGATCTGTCCTGTAACTTTGTGTGGTTTGGTTTCCGTGAAGACAGACAGATGTTTGATGGCCTCTTCACCAGAAAAGTTACAGACTGCACCTCTAACAGCAACATTTCAGGTCATGTTAAAGACGAGTGGATCTGGAGTTGTGTCCCGTCTCTGTGATTCCAGAGGGGGTGAGTGACAGCTGGATTAACCAATCAGAAAGACGCATGCTCCGTTCAAGTGAAAAACACACATTATACATAAAAAAGGAATAAAAATCTACATAAAAGACTGAGATTTTTACAGAATCAACATTATCTTAGGAAAAAGAAGTTATATATTTTGTTTTCAATGATATAAGAATATTTTGAGATGTCTTCAGCATTTGAGAGACTCATGATACAAATGAGTAGATGTGGTTGGATCATCTACAGCAGGGGTGTCAAACATACGGCCCGGGGGCCAGATCCGGCCCTCTAAGACCTTTAATCTGGCCCTCGGCTGATTTTCTACTAAAAATATTTTAAATTATATTTTCTATTAAAATATTGGTAATTTTCTGTGGTGTTTAACCAGAACCTCTGTACGTGGCCCCTCCCACCAGAGCAGCACAAATGAAGACTTGTCTCTTTCCAAACGCTCTTAAAGGACGATCGTTTTGACTGTTGACCGTGACACCCTCATCAACAAAATGTCACAAATGAGAAAAATGGAGCTGAGTGCAGAATTTTCCAACAAAAATTGACTTATTCCTATTTGCAAACAAGTTCATGTTAAAACATTCTGTTGAAATTGCATTTTTCTTAAAGTTTCAGGTTGTTCATAATATTATAATATTTTGTAAAAGAAAGAGTTAATCAATTAAAAAAAGATTTCTGGAATAGATTTGTGTTTCTCTGCACAAATATTTGAACTTAATTGTTATTTTTGGGGTTTATATGACATGAGTTTTCTGATCCGGCCCCTTTGGGATCAAAGTAGGATGGACACGGCCCCAGAACAAAATGAGTTTGACACCCCTGATCTACAGGATCTACAGGCAGTCTTCAGTTTGAGTTGGCTCCATCTCACAAATGGACAGATTTGGTACGTTACAGTTTTGATCCATCCAACATCTCTGATCATCGAGCCACGTCTCTCCCATCCACACACAGTCTTCTCCTTCAGGCTGGTAGTATATACCTCTCCCGTTGTCTGGTTCTGAGCTGTAAGTGCTCGTATACCAGAACGTTAAACTGAATAAGACACACAAAAAATATTTCTGTCACTTTTTTTCTACAAGGATTGCACTGAAAAAAGTCATATCTTAGTAAATTATAATGACGTGAATTAAGAACATCAGAACGAGTTCACTGCAAAAAACAAAATCTAGTTGAATTAAGAAAGTTTTATTATGATTTGAGTAAATTTCACTTGAAAAGTATTGTATTTTCCGGGCTATTAGGCGCTCTGGATTATAAGATGCATTAAATGGTCTATTTTCAAACTTTTTTCACAAATAAACCACACCAGACTTTAAATGAAACACAACAGTGTGATGGGTGAGTGGTTTTGTTTGTTTGTCGTTCACGGTGACTCTGGGCTTTGTTCAGTTGTGGCGTGTAGGGAGGTGCTGTCTGGGACCGCTGGATTGTCGGCGTGTTCGCAGTGACTCAGTTGTTCAGTCGTGTCTAGAAGCGGCACATTGCACTCGCTTTTTCGGTTCGTTCCTCCGTTCCGTTCCTCGTCGGCGTGGAGTGATGAGTGTGTCTGTGGGTGTTTTTCGTTGTGCGGTCGCTGTCTGCTCCGTGTGTGTTTGTGGCTTTGTAGTTTACTGAAGTCGTGCTGGGACACCCGAGTGGATTCGTGTATAGGGCGCTCTGGATTGCGGCGCGCGGTCGTTTTTTGATGGGGTTGGAGTCTTATGAACGCGCCCAATAGCCCGGAAAATATGGTAAAATTATCTACCAGTGGAATCAAGACTTTTTTTGTACTTAAAAGATGAAAATGCATCTTGCTGCACTTAAAATAAGAAAAACAACAACTTTTTACATTTAAAATAAGTCATTTTAATTTAACTAGATATTGTTTTTTTCCAGTGTGACTCAAGCAACATTAGATTCTGTGTCTTATTTTAAAGGTGCATTTTCTAACTTTTTGGTGGAAGGTCCATAACCTGCTCGTTTCTATGGATAAGGAATTGGAATGTTCCACGGTATGACATTAAACAGCTTTACTTTACATTTATTCAATTACAAGTGGTTTTACAGCTCAAAAATACAGAGAAAAACAGAGATTCTGACTGTGAGCGGAGTCGCCTCTCCACAGATCTGATCTGTGACTTGGTCTGGTTTGGTCTCCATGGAGATAGAAAGGTTTAAAACCATACTGACCACGTTTACATGATGTTTTAAACCAGGACTGGTGGAGTAAGATCGCGTCAGAAGGGTGACCCAACGATCGTGCACTGAACGACCGGAATTATTTTTAAGAAGAATAAACATTTAAGTGATCGAGGAATAAATTACTTTGGCTTTAAAATCACAATAAACCACCCACTTACTTCAGAATTAAGTTTAATTCCGAATAATCATTTTTATTATGAATTAAGTGTTTAAATCTTTTTAAAGCAGAATTCATTTTTATTCGGAAAAGCTCTCATGTAAACGTGGCAAGTGTAAAACTTTCCAGACAAGTAATAACATCATGGAGAAAAGCATTTGACGAACCCTCCACTAGAAAAGTTACGAAATGCAAAGAGTTTTTGTATTTTTTTATCTTAAGTGTAGCAAGACATATTTTCAAATTTTACTTCAAAAAGTAAAGATAATTTTACTTGTCAAGTGAAATTTCCTCAAATTACGATAAAACTGTCTTACTTCAAGTACTCTTAACTCTAGATTTTAGTTTGCAGTGTACATTAGTTTTATTTTTGTAGTTGTTTTGTAGTTTTGTTGGCCAAATCTCACCTCGGGTCGAGTGAAGAACCGTCCACCCACTTCCAAACTCCTTCTGTCTGAGAGTCTGTCAGTCCGATCCAGAACCGATTTCCATTGATCCTTGTTAAATCTTTCACTTTTGAATACAGAAACCACTAAAACACAAATAAACAAAATTAGTTTCAATATTTCTGCAGTGACAATGGTTAAAAAATTATTAAAACATAACGTAAAAGTGCAGTGTGTAACTTTTCTGGTGGAGAGTCTGCAAAATGCTTGTCTTCATGGAGATGTTTTTGCTTTGTCTGGAATGTTTTACAGTATGGCATTAAACATTTCTATCTTCAGACCAAACCAGACCAGGTTACAGGTCAGGTCTGTGAGAGGCGACCCCGCTCACAGTCAGAATAGATGTTTTTCTGAGCTATAAACCACCTGCAATCGATGTTTTAAGGTCATACTGAAGCTCCACCACACTGAAAAAACGGTCCGAGAGGGGTTGCTCAAATTGCAAAAACAAATTTGACAACAATAACATCACATTTTTACGTTTCTCTGTCAAGCATGTTTAAATCTTACAAACATCGCTTGATTGTGGCCGATGTGAGACCTGCATGTTTTAATCAGGTTGAGGAAACATGACTTTATTATAATCTCTGGTGAGGCTCCTCCCTCTGGAATTCTCCTCCCAAAACTTTGGAGGGAAAATTCAAATGTAACAGGACACAGGACAGATCCAGGAGCAGAGACACACAGTGTGGAGCAGGAGGATCATGAAGCTGATCTGGAGGTGAGACTTTTCAAAGATTTTATTATGTGCTTCTCCGGCCTAGAATGTCGTCATTGTTAAAACATGTTTGTGTTGTTTTATTTGAAATTAGAATTAATGTAAGGACTGTTTCCATGAGACAAATTGTTTTTGACTGTCCATCTACAAGAGTGTGACAGTTGTACTCAGATTTGAATGTGTTTGTTCCAGAGTCGTCTACAAACACAGAGTGACGTCCAGAGCTCTGCTGGAGCTGTGGGGAAGTTCATGAATGTTATAGTTGATGTTTCAGAAAAAAGGAAGATGTTTGAGAACCAACAAAACACAGACCACAGATGAACAAAGTAAGTAAACCAACTAAAATTATTTTAAATTTTTTCAAAATGAACTTCCTATTGAAACTGTTATCGTACTTGTACAAGGTGATGTGGCACTAGGAGACTTTATACCAGATGCCCTCCCTGTTACTGTGTTTAGAGGAAGAAAAGCAGCACATGGTGAGTTTTGTTTCTGCAGATACACTTCTAATGTTCTTGTTCTTCTGTTCTGGTCCATTATTGTAGTAATAATTGCTATAAGTGTATTTAAACATGTAGAACAGAGTAGATCATCAGAATGTGATCATCATGTGTTATTCGTGTGTCCACAGGCAGAGACCAGAGCTTCTTCACTGGAATAAATCTTCACACTGTCCAGCTCCAAACTGTGTGTCTCTGTCCCTGTGCTCTTTGTGTTTGATTCTGTTTAAGACAAAACAGAACTGTGGAAAACTAAAGACTGTTTTTGTATTCTTTTACAGAATTAGATCAATTAAATTTAATTATACATACTTATACATTTCATGATAAGGTACCATAAGATAAATATGCATATTCAGCATGATTTGTTCAAATTTCATCAACATGAAAAAGTGACGTTCATGTTCCGAGAAAAATATGTGTAGAGGGGATCGAAAAAAGTTTCAAAGCCTAAACATAATTTTATTGCGTGCAACCGCTGTCCATAACTTTTTTACGCAAATCCAGCCACTTTTTTTTTTTCAGTGCAGAAAAGTTACACAATGCACGCTTAAATTGCTTTGTCTTGCTACTTATTTAGAATTTATTATTAACATTTATCTTGGTTATTATAATATATTGTGATGTGTGAGCTACTGTGTCCAAACTATTTCCCTCGTGGGTCAATAAAGTTTGTTAAAGTCGAATGCATCTCTATTTTGTTCTGCTTCGACAGGATTTCCACGTTAACAATCATTTTAGGACGTCCCATCTCCAGCTTTATAAACGCGTTACACAGTGGACAGTACCTGCTCCTCTCTGCTGTCGATCTTCACCAAATCTCCGCCGCTCCGCTGACACAGTGTCCGGCTGTGACTCCACGTGCTTCTAGTGGTGGCAAAATAATAACACTTTCCTCCGTGAAGCTCCCAGTTGGTGCCACAGCTGAGTTTGACCGCACACGCTGAAATTGTAAGGGGAATTTCTTATGATCAGAGTTATGAAGCTGTCATTTGTGTTATTATTAAAGAAGAATTTTCATGCTTTATTGTGACTTTAACTGGGTTTGAGCACCTTTGCCCAAAACTTGGATCTCAGAATGACGTAATCTCTAATGTCTTGACTGTTGTTTTAGGACATTTTTTGTAACTTGGTTCAGTTTGGTCTTTTGGTTCACGCCTGTATCTGAACATCTGTCATCATTTCTCACAGTTCTCAGGCTCTTTTTCAGAACACAGGACACAGGGTTTAGGGTTTTACTCACAATCACACATGATCATGAATTCACCTTGTTTTTTCAACACTAGGTTCCTGTTCTCACGTTGTAAAGGACATTGACCCAAACTCTGTTACTTTCAATATAGAAACTCAAACATAACAATAAATGAAAATTTGTGAGCACCAAAAATTCATCAGGAAAGGATTTCACACTTGAGTCAAACAGTGGAAAGGGTCAGAGCAGAGAGTACAGACAATGAGTACACTGCATGTCTGCACTACATACAGACTTTCAGATACACACAGTTGTGTTTGATTTTCAAGAACACATTACATATTACTGCGCAGGAGTGTTGATGTATTTGTTGTATACTGCAAAATCTACTTTGCAGCGGGTAATATACTTTTATATTTTACATAATACAGTATGAACTGGTTTTAGAAAAAAAAAAAGAAAAGCTTTTTCCATCCAAAATTCAAAGTGAGTAAAGTCTGAGCCCAGATCATGGATCTATTAAAATAACTGAGGGTGTTGCTGCTTGGTAGCTGCCTCCAGTTGACATAGTGACTGGTAAAAATCCCCTGGGCTGAGAGGGATTTTTCTCATAGAGCTCAATGTAATCACAAACTGCTCATGTTCCTCTGACAGGGCACCTACAACTTTCAAAAATGTTTAACTATTTTTAAATCAAACTTTTTCTCAGCTCAAAATCCTTCAGTTGTCTTAAAAAAACAACAACAACAACACTGTGTAATTGTTCGCTCCAGCTCTGTTCTAGCTCCTCTCGCTCTGATTGGTCAAAGTGGTCATGTGATACACAAGACCACGCCCCGTGCGTGTGCCCGCGGGAGAAAAGAGCACTACTGCACATGCTCAGTCGGCTCAGAGCCAGCGGAAGAACCTCGCCGGGGCTAAAGGTAAATCTGGAATCATGCACCATCGAGCTCGGCCCATTGACTTAAATGGGCGGCCATTTTGAAACCCCGGCGCTTGCCCCAGATGCACTAAACCAGTGATTCTGTTGTTACTGAGAGCAGGACTAAAAGCTTTGAGTTGCAATATCAAATGAATGAAAGAGTAGAGGAAAACACCTGATCAAAGTGTAAGAGTTTTGATGGTAAAACATGCTTTTGAGACTTTAATGATCAGTTTTGAATGAGAATCTGCATTTTACTGAGATTAAATCTTGTTTAGGAAAACCATAACCCTTTTCAGGATAATGTGTGAGCTTTTTTGCAAAGGTAAATTTTGAAAAAAGCTAATACTTGTAGGAGGAGGATCTGAGCTGGCTGCAGGAGGTGGAGGAGGGGATGTCGTCACTGCAGGCTTCGCTGTGGTCGCGTTTGTGCTCGTCTCAACTCTGTCTGTGCATTTTTTGGCGTTAACTGTCAAAAGAGAGAAACATTTAGCTCAAAATCACTTAAATTGGACACAACACTTCGCTTTCCCCACAAAATGACATAATCAAAAGTCCACCTCCTGTACTTTACCCTCTTGTGTGTGCATTTGTACTGTGCCGTCAAAAGGCCAGTAGTTACAAGATTGTTTTATTTATTTTCAATTTTCTTTCAATTAAACACTGTAATTGAATAAATGACTGAAAAGTAAATTTAATGCCATCCTGCGGAACATTCAGACAAAGCAGATAACAACATGAGACGGCCGATCCTCCTCTACTGTAGTTACATGTTGATACTTTGCAGCAGGATTGTCAAACTCATTTTCACCAAGGGCCACATCTGGATCATGTTTGTCGTCAAAGGGCCGGTTGTAAAGTTAAGACTAAAACTGTAACTGTAATATCGGTACGTTACAAAAGTGTAGAAGTTGATTTTTCATTTCATATTTATTCATTTTGTTTATTTTTATGTTTTTTTTTACCTTGTTATTATTCACTGGTCTTCTTGCTCTTATTTGATTTGACTAGTTTTATTGTCTTAATGAGGATTAGTAGAGTTAAAGGTTGTATGGAGGATTTTTTTTGTTTCAAGTTGTCAATGATAGCATTATAGAGATGCAGTAGACTTGTAATTATGATGACCAAAAAAAAGACAATAAAAATTCATCAACTCTGGACGTGGTGGGGCTAAACATTTGCCAATAGATAACGACACTGCCTCGTTATCTGTGAGCTGACAGGCTGTCAATCAATCTCCCTACGTTTCTAGCGTAACTGACTTGCCTGCGCCGCCGGTACGTGGTTTACGTACGACTGTCACGCAGTCCACAGACGCAAGACGCACAGACGCTGTTTACTCCACCAACGCAACAGTTCTTAGCGGCTTTTTTTGACCTATATCTTCCTCGCAGTTCGCACAAAGTTTGTTGCAATGGCGACAAGAATCCAGGAGCAGTTCGCCGCAAAAGAAAGTCCGTTTTTGAGGTCGCTGAAAGAAGAAGACAAGGGGAAAAGCAGCGAAGCCAAACTAAGGTGATTCTTGAAGATTCATTCCAGCGATGGCGCGACTGAAGCAGACGCAGGGTCTAAAGACTGACGCACTGGTCCACAAATTACTCCTGGACAGGTCACTTCTGCTTATTATGAAAACGTACTTTATTTCCAAGAGCTAGTCAAACGTTTTTCAGGACACGAAAGCGATATCCTATGTCTGAAAACGTAATTTTCAAGGCAAAGAAGAGTCCACTTGCTGTTGCGTGTTGAAGCTAGTTCATTCGCACTGAATCTCCGCGCAACCTTCTCTGCACCCCTTTCCTGCTCCTCTCCCCGCTGCCCGATCCGCTCTTCCCCCTGCTCCTCACTTCTCCGGGCACGGAATCTCCGCGCACCCGCTCCCCCGCTCCTCACTTCTCCGTCTTGCCTAACCAACACTGTAGTTAGTTGTTTACAAGTCATGTGCAGCACCGGCTGTAAACAAACCTGTTTCTGGCGTAAGGAGGAGGCGGGAGGAGGTGTTTCTACGTAGGAGCTGTAGGGGAGGGGGGTGGTTTCACGCATGCGCAACATTTGAAAAAGGACAAACAGTCGCTGGATTTCTCGTTCCTTGGAAAATCCTCTATACAACCTTTAATTAGAGCTTTACTTTATATTTCTATTGGATATGTTTTATTTGTATTGTGCAGCACTTGGGAAATTGTTTTGTTTATGAAATGTGCTGTAGAATTAAAGTGGATTGGATTTAAAAGGTTTAAGTTAAGTTAGAGTTAAGTTAAAATATTCACATGACTCCTTCAGTAACATTCATGAAATAGCCGTCCTTCTGTATCAGTTTTTCTTTTCTTGGACACTTTTGGCGAAATTTGATGAGTTTTCTCGGCCTCTCTAGTGGCGGGATACAGTCACTTCACGGGAAACAACTGTGGTGCATTGTGGGAGATGTAGTAGCGGCACAGAGTCAGAACATAATAATAAATTATACATTTTAACCCCTTGTGAACCACATAAAATGGCTTGCCACTTGTGCTTTACAGTGACTTTCTCTGGGAGTGTGACGCTAACTGCAGGCACTAATCTGTCTGAAGTTTTGTTAGACTTTAATCTGAACTTTATTTTAACACAATCTGACCAAAAACAATAACAGATGATCAGACTTGTGCTGCTGAACAAGCCTCTCGCACATAAAATTACAGTCTTGAGTTTTCAGGCTATTTTGAAACTTTTTTGACAGTGTTTGCGAACACCCCCCTGGCGTGATGTCACTGCACAGTTTCCAGGTTTTTTTTAAATAATCAATGCTTCATTTAGTGGTAAATATGTGTCACAGTTTTACATCGGTGAAGTAGTTTATAAGAATTTAGTGAATGAAGAGCTGAAACATCAGGAAGTAGAATTTGGTTCTAAAATAAAGTCACTGTCATCATCTACTATAAAAAAAAAAAAAAGAAATTGGCCGCAGAACATTTAACTTCAAAGCCCCAAATGAACGGAACAACTTGTCCTCCTCAATCCGATCAGTTACATCGATCCACCAGTTTGAGGCGTGAGTCTTCAGATACTTACAAACATCATGCTCCTGTTTTCAATAAAAATACATTTTTGTTCTGTGTACTTCCTGTTGTACACAGAGTTGCTTTTTTTCTTCAATAATTTACAAATATAGGCGTGGTGATGATCAAATCACAGATGTATATCGTAGAATCCTGTAGTGTGGATGTTGTCTGTGTGTTGTGTTTGTCTTTTGTTTTTTAATGTAATTAGGACCCCCTCGCAAATGTTACATCTCAAGAGGCTTCCCTTATAAATAAATAAATAAATTAATCAGTAAATAAATCAATAAATCAGTTAATACTTTTAACTACATGTATCTCTACCACGGTGACTAGGGATGCAACGATATTTGATGTAATATTTAGTGCTGTCAGGCAATTAAAAAAATTGAGAGATTAATTAATTATGATCTGTAATTAATTAATCTATTTAATCTCTTTTTAATCTCACCTAAAAATTGCTGAGAAAAGCCTTCAATTTGAGGTATTTTCATTTAAATTCATTATGACATTATTACTATAACATATGAACCATGAACACTCTAGAGCCACATCAGCTCGTTTGACATTATAATGTGTTTAATGCTGATTTGCGCAAGTCTCACAGAAACGAAACTTAAAAACCGCATGGCTAATTTGCATAAACTAAGCGAGAAAAAAAAAAATGCTCTTGTGTCGCTGATGCGGTTCAGCTTCTGTGGGACTGAAGGACACGACTCAGTGGAATATAGATGTTCTTTCTGTGACAGTGTTGAAGGTGAAGGTGAGTCTGTTCTGTGTTTGTGTCGTGATGTTTTCAGACGTGTGCAGGTTTATCGCAGATGCGGCGAGAACGAGAAAGAAAATCACAATTGTTCGCAGGAGCGATGTGTTATTGTCCCAACAACACATAAAAACAGATTTTATAATAAGGCAACTCGCGTACAGTAACAGGAAAGTTAGAGATTAACGCGATTAAAAAACATAACGCGCTAAATATGACTGTAATTAATTAATCGCAATTAACGCGATAATTTGACACCCCTAGTCATATTGAATCGTTTTATATTGGTGTTAATCACATTTAATCACATTTTGTCCCTTTTGTGTGACTCACGGAAAAGGGCGATTCCATCAAAGACGTAAGCGACGATCAGAACTGCAGCCATCACCACAGCCACTCTGAGCACCGTCACCTTCACCCTCCTCCCCGAACGCGCTCCTGTACACACACACACACACACACACACACACACACACAGGACTGAACTTTTATACACACTAACCACCACCAGAGAGACACGAGTTTACTTTCCTGGTGTCGCTTGTATCATTTCATGCAGCTCCTGTTTGTGTTTGTGCGTCGTGTAACTTTTCTGGTGGAGGCTCCGTTAAATACTTTTCTCCACAGAACTGTTATTCCTTTGTCTGGAATGTTTCACAGTGTGGTATATTAAACCTTTCTATCATCACTGAGACCAAACCAGACCAAGTTACAGGTCAGATCTGTGGAAAACCGACTCCGCTCACAGTCAGAATGTTTGTTTTCTAGGTGTTTTTGAGCTATAAAACCACCTGTAATTGAATAAATGTAAAGTAGAGCTGTTTAATGTCACACTGTGGAACATTCCAGGCAGAGCAATGACATATCCGTAGAAACAAGCAGGTGACAAAAAGTTACACAGTGCAGCTTTAACATGCCAGAGTAAAACATCATTCTAATATCTGTTCGAATGAAACAAAGAATTGTATACAGTTTGATTTCAGTCTTTTAAAAATCATTTTCCTTGTTGATCAATAAAGTTTGTCTAAGGCTGCGTTCAGACTGCAGCCTGAAGTGACCCAAATCTGATTTTTTGGCCCCTATGTGACCTGTATCTGATCTTTTAATGACAGTCTGAACGACACAGATCCGATTTTTTTTCAAATGTGACCCAGGACACTTGGATATGTGCTCCTGAAACCGATACATATCTGATCTTTTGACATGTGACTTCAGTCTGAACGGTCAAAGTGCATTCATCCACCTACACGTTATCAACAAGACACAAACGTCACTATTCTGCGCTGAAGTAGGAGAAAATTGTTAATGAACTCTGTGTCACTGAAGCGAAGCACATCACCACTCATCACTCTTGGCTACGTCTCCACATCCACACGTTCCTTTCAACGGACTGAACCACAAAACACCACGACCAAAAACCTCGTCCTTCTCCTTCTCAATCTCCTCTTTAAAACAAATTGTTCATGTTCTGGCTCTGGTACGAGAGGAACTTTAAAATCTCCAGGTGCTCAATGCTGCGTCCATATTTGGACAACTTCTGTAAACACAGAGACGCTCGCTGCGGTTGACGTCATCGTGTCTCCAGTGTCACATGTGGGACACTTTTGGGGCGTTTAAAGTTCACACTGGAGTCACATACAAGTCACATTTAATTGGAAATGTGAACGAAGTCGCAAAAACATCGGATTTCACAAAAAAATCGGAATTGAGCGTTAAGCCCTGCAGTCTGAACGTAGCCTAAGTTTAAGTCTAAGTTTAGAAATGTATTATGTTAATGTTCCTGTTGCAGCTCCCTCCTCTCCGACCTCGACTCCAAATCCATTTCCCGCCTCCAACTGGTTCAGAACGCAGCAGCTCGTCTCCTCACTGGGTTTAACATTGTGACAAAGTGGGCCTTTGTCCCATTTTAAATTCACAGTCATTTATGTTAAACATTTTGATTTTGAAATCGAATCGAATTGAATTAGGCAAAATCGAATTAGGCCCAGGAAAAGAAATCCTCACTTTGCTTTGAAAGTTACCAGGAAAATCACCAAGGTACTTCTGCTGGACGGGGTGTAAAGCAAAGCAGGTGTTGGCATTTAGGGAGAAACTTCTGTGCAGATCGTTTGGTGCTTTTGATTTGAATTAACTTATTTTCAGTTTATTTGTACTTTCTTTTGCGTTAACTCCAGAAGTTTGTTTTAAAATCAATTTTGTCTGGTCAAAGACACTTTTTTGTCGTAGTCTGCCTCCTACTTTGACCACGTCGGGCCAGCTTCCCCACAAACATGAACATATTTCCCCTATTTTATTTCCCTTCACTGGCTCCTGTGTGTTATAGAAATGATTTTAAGATTTTAATGATCACTTTTGAAGCTCATTTAGGTCTTGCACCAAGTTATTTCAGAACTTTTAACCCCGTACGACCCTCCTGAAGCCTTAGATCCTCCTCATGTCCCTGTGTCTGTTCCGGAGTCCAGGTTCCAGACGAAGCTGCCTGAGGAGATGAGCCTCGCACCATCACTTCTTAAAACTCATTTTTACCAGATGTCCTTCCTTTAACTGGTTTTAGGGTGATTTATTTATTATAATTGATTGAATTGTTTGATCCTGTTTATTTATTTGACTGTTAACTGATCTGTTTCTTTGTCTTTGTTTGTATGCTCTCTCTTTCGTACTGATTTTTGCTCTCTGTACAGCACTTTGTCAACCTTGTTTGTAAAAAAAAAGACTTTTCTTATTCCTATTATTATGTATCCTGTTACTGGAAATATAATACTGTTCTTGTCTTTATTTTTCCTGCTAATGCTGTAGCTCTTTCAAATTTATAACATCTACTTTCCATTTAGATACTCCACACGTAAAGAAAAGTATTTTAGGGTCTTACCTGTGTGTGGAGCGCCTCTTTCTGGAACGTTAACATATGAGATGTGGTTTTCGTGCATCTCGACTCGGCACAGACCCAGAACTGAGCGGACAGCGGGGAAAGTTCAGTCTCTGTCTATGCTTAAAAATGATTCAGCTTCCTTCTTATTTCCTAAAAGTGCAAGCTGGACTTCCTCAAACTATTTATGTTTTAAAGAAAAGCAGATATGATACTGTGGAAAATTTAGTACAACACAGAAAGAACTAATTTGAGACATTTACAGATGGTGGACAAGTTTTTAAGATTCACAGGTGAGATGTTTCTGTTTATCTTTTCATGGGTTTCAGCTTCTTGTTCAGGGTGACCAGACAGACGTCCCTATTTCCCCGAGACAGTCCCAGTTTTGAGTCCAGTGTCTTCCAGCAGATATCTATAAAACCATTAATTTGTCCCAGTTTTTGACCAATTTGAAACCCACCAACAGTAAAGATGGGAATATATTGTCACTGTCTGTTTGTTTTTTAGCTAAAATACAAAAAAATGTGTGTGAAAATGACTATAAAGCGAAAAAACACACCAACAAATGTCTATACTGACCCACAAGTGAGTCAAGAATGGACAATGTTACGCTTTCTTTTCACAATTTTATTTATACCAAGCTCCCAACCTGGGTGTGTGAATTAGTTGAATCAGTTTTTTAATTTAAAACAGGTGAAAATCTGGTCACCCTGCAGTTCTTGTGACCAGGTATATTTTCAGTATTTTATTGGAAATGAATGTTAACTTTCCAGAGATACATGTCTGGCAGTTCATGAGTGTCTCAGTTTTTCATCATCTTTAAAGAACCATTAAACACACTCCTGAAGCTTTACTAAATCTGAAAAACCCTTCTGAGTTGCGGTGCCCTGGACCCAACACGGACTGGACCGGTGCCCTCAAGACTTTGAAACTGTCACGGCCCCTGTTGTGCCGTGTTTGTATTAATAATTGTTTTATTTTGAGGTGACCCGAATGCACTAGGACCCAGTCTGGTTCCGGTCTGGTTCGGGTTTCCTGGTCACCCTACAGTCTTCGCGGGCGCACGTTCGGGCCAGTCCAGACGCTCCTGGTTCAGTCCTGGTTTAGGACTGAGACCCGGACCGGACCTGGATCAGGACCGGGACTGAGACCGGGACTGAGACTAGGACTGAGACCTGTTTAGACGTGGTTTAGAACTGGTTTAGTCCTGGTTTAGTCCCGTTTCAGTCCTGGTTCAGTCCGGCATCGCAGTTTAAGTCACAGAAACGGGATTTACTCATTTAAACACAAAAAATTAAAAAAATTAAAAAAAACAAATCATTATCCGTTTTTTCATTTTGGTTTTGGAGACAAATAATGAAGAAAATTGCTGTTTTTTTTCATTTTCTTATTTTTAGTTTTATATTAAAAAACTAATGATACTTTGATTCTCTGAAAGTGTCTGAGTTAATTATAAAAAACATGTCACCTTCAAAATCCCCATTCCTCTTACACTTTCACTATTATTATGTATTTATTATGAATCACGGACGCTCTAATGCTACACTTAGTCAGAAAAAGCCATCTCGCCATCGGTGCTAATGCACAGGAGCGGCCTGTCTCTGCAAATAACCCATGGGGACGCCGGTGTTTACTTACCCACTATTCCCACCAGAGCCGCGTTCAAATATATAGACCGCTAATGTATGCAGGTTTATAATATTCATACAATTTAGACGACCAAACGGACTTGAAAGAAAACACACGCAGGGAGGCAAATATTGTTTCTTTTTGTAAAAATCAAACAGCTTTTAGAGTGGAGCGCTAATGAGACGCATATGGCCCAGTTTAGCAGAGAAGGAGGCACAGTGTCCATGTTTTGGTTTACTTAAAAAGCACTAAATGTGGAAATATTAAAGGAAGTGTGTGTAATCTGTGATCTTACGGTTTTAGAAATGGTGGATTGTTGGTGCCTTAAAGTGGAATTAAATACTAAATCCACTTTTCCTACTAAATTATGGAGTATATAATATCTTTGTTTACTGTTCCCGATCAGTTTTGGGCATCTTTAAGTACAACCAAGTTTGCAGCCTGAAGTGACCCAAATCCGATTTTTTGGCCCCTATGTGACCTGTATCTGATCTTTTAATGACAGTCTGAACGACACAGATACGATTTTTTCAAATGCGACCCAGACAACTTGGATATGTGCTCCTAAAACCGATACATATCTGATCTTTTGACATGTGACTTCAGTCTGAACGGCCAAAGCGCATTCATCCACCTACACGTTATCAACAAGCCACAAACGTCACTATTCTGCGCTGAAGTCGGTGAAAATTGTTAATGATGTCACTGAAGTGAAGCACATCACCACTCACCACTCTTGGCTCCGTCTCCACATCCACACGTTCCTTTCAACGGACGTCGCTGCCGCTGCCCCACAAAACACCACGACCAAAAACCTCGTCCTTCTCCTTCTCAATCTCCTCCTTTAAAACAAGTAAGTTGTTCATGTTCTGGCTCCGGTACGAGAGGAACTTTAAAATCTCCAGGTGCTCGATGCTGCGTCCATGTTTGGACATCTTCCGTAAACACAGAGCACGCTCGCTGCGGTTGACGTCATCGTGCCCTTCACACTTTTGGGCCGTTTAAAATGTTCACACTGGAGTCACATACAAGTCAAATTTAATTGGAAATGTGAACGACCTCACAAAAACATCGGATTTCACAAAAAAATCCAAATTGAGCGTTAAGCCCTGCAGTCTGAACGTAGCCTAAAAATTTGTGTTGCCTTCAGTGCCTCTGTAATTTCAAGTACTATGTGACATAACACAGCGCTGCCTTGATTACAGACGGGTGTTTCTGATCATAAACACTTGGCTGCAGGGGCGGAGTTTGAAGTGTGAAGACCTGTTAAACCAATCACAGTGTTCCTTATACCTCCTCACTCTCTTCTTTAGTCCTCCGGGTTCTGCCCAGTTCAGCAGTTTAAGTGTTTAGTCCCACATTAACCTGCAGTTAGACACACACATACACGTTTGCCTCAGTCTCAGTTTATGTTCAGTCATATGAAGCTCAGAACCTCTAGAATTCCCTCCCTGACTCATGATGACTGCAGGTGCTGGGGGTTAGGTAGAGACCATTCAGATCACAGGGAGGCATTTTAGGATTTAGGAACTGGATTTCAGATTTAAAACTGTCAACACAAATGAGAGAGTCATGTGAGGCTCACTCTGCTTTCTGATTGGACAATTGTTTTGAAAATCAAAACATCAAATTATAACCATGGATCTGTTAAAATAACTGGAGGGTGTTACTGCCTGTAGCTGCCTCTATTTGGTGTAGTGGACACTCGCTGGTACATCAGCGAAAAAATCCCCTGGGCCAAGAAAGCATTTTTCTCATGGAGTGCAGTGTAATCACAAACTGCTCATGTTCAGCTGACAGGGACCTACAACTTTCAGAAGTGTCGGATTTTGTGGCGATTTTTACCTATTTTTACATCATAAACTTTTTTTCAGCTTATCTTAAAAAACGCTTTATAATCGTTTGCTCACGTGCATTGGCGTGTGCCCGTGGGAGAAAGGAGCACTACTGCACATGCTCAGTCGGCTCAGACCCACCGAAGTCCCTCAAAGGACTAAAGGCGAATCTCAGGTCAGACGACATTGAGCTTGGCTCATTGACTTGAATGGGTGGCCATTTTTAGACCCCAGGGCTTGATTATAACATAAACGACTTGGCCATTGTGTCCAAAGTTTTTAATGATAGCTCAGAACCATGGCAACAAAGTGGTCGGCTGCTCTTGTGGATTGATGCCTCACACACTGAGCAGATTTTGAAACTTTTTGTTTCTTGAGCTCAGTTTTTAACATCCTGTCATGGGATTGTACCAGACTAAGAAGTGCAGCATGTGCAGTTTAAAGAACACACATAAGGGACTGTTGCATTTTCAGAAATGAGCTGTTTGTTTTTCCCGTCTCCATGGAGACCGTGCAAGCTAGCGACGGAGCTATCTGTGGACTTTTGAGGCGCTACAGGTTTTTTACACCATATGTGGCAGCAAATATGGCAGAAGATCCTCAGAGGAAAATCTCTGAGGGACTGAACACAAGGGACTGTTGGATTGTGTGAAATGAAATGCTTGTTTTTCTCGTCTCCATGGAGACTGTGCAAGAAGCTAGCTAAGTGGCTAACTATGGACACTGAATTTCCCTCAGGATTAATGAAGAATCTGTGTGTGTCTGGGTCTGTCTAATTAAAAATAAATCAGCACTACAATTGTCAGGAAGAGAGTAAGAGCTGTTTGAGTTGAACAGACCTCATACCAGATAATAGGTCATCATCAGGTTTAGGAAATTGGACAAAAATGAAATCCAGACATAAAAATCTCTGACAGTTTTCTACACAAAATCACTGCTTCTTTATCTTGATGACATGTTTGTGTAATAGCGCCCCCTCCCCTCTCCCCACTGTCCCTGCTGTTCAACAGATCTGACGGTTCTCCCCCTGATGAAAGCCCCGCCCTGCTGTGTGCAGACCCCAGCACAGAGGCCCACGCTGGGCTCAGGATGAAGGACCAGCAGGGGGCGCTGGTCAGCACTGATCAATGGTCCACAAACACAACAACATGTCAGACATCTCCATCAGCGCCACCACGGAAAAACTAAACCTGAATGGACAAATTAATTAACCACAAATGTAGATTCGAGGTGTTTTAGTTGTTTTCACGCCTGGAAACATCATTTTCAGTTTTCTTCAAGACAAAAATGCTTAAAAGTTATAAGCACATTTACACATTTATCACCAGTGTGAACACCCGGCCAGCAGCAACGCAAGTGTGCAGGAATATACTGAGGTCAAACAATTTCAAATAAAAAAAAAATACAGAGTGGTGGGCTGCTCTTGTGGCTTGATGGCTCACACACTGAACAGCTTTTGAAACTTTTTGTTTTTTGAGCTCAGTTTGAAACATCACATCATGAAATTTTAACCAGACAATAAGTTCAGCACGTTCAAGTCAAACCACACAAAGCAAGGGACTGTTGGATTTTGTGAAATGAGCTGTTTGGTTTAGTTTAGTTTAGTTAATGAGTCAGGGACAGTACACAATATACATTACTCTTAACAGGAGAGATGC